CGATCTCGTTAAAGGTTTGTTCTAAGTGTTTTGCTATTCTTTAGAAAAAGTTTCATTTTCGAATGTGACTGTGGATATGTGGAATCATTTGGAACATCAATTTTAACTTTATATTTGCGTTTGTTGGTGGTGTGAGATGATTTTGTGTTATTTATTGTTATTTCATTCATTCATTCCATCATTGTTCTGTATTATTCTCATTGAAGTTCACATAAGATTATTCGGTTCTCTTGTTGTTGTAACATTCTTATCATTATCGTTTTTTGTCATAAACGACTATCAAAGATTATTGATGATGATGGTGGTCATTCATAGTGTTTGTCTTCACTTGTAGCTTTAAACGGTTGTTTTTTTAGTTTCTGAATTGAAATTTACTGAAGTTCAGTGAGCAATTCAAATTCACTGAAATTGTTCGATTGAATGCAAAATTGTTCTGTTCCCATTTGGAGTGGTGAGAACGATGGTACGAGAAATGAGTGAATGGCAAATATTCTGTTGATTTGAGTGGGTGAAAACAATCGCGCACAGCAAAGCAAAATTTCAGTTGTACTCTGACGAGGCATCAACGTCGTGTGTTGAAGAGTGTGTTGTGGCCACTGAGGAGCTGCGGACATTAGGTGAAATAGTTCGAAGTGAAATCGGTGTCGCATCGGAAACGTTGACGCGGATTGACGATCAGTTGACGCAGTTGTCGTCGTTATTCAGAAATATCGATCAGTTAGCTGAATTCATCGTTGAGGTATAGCTAATGAGTGGTATTTGTGCGGATTTCTCGCAATTTTAGGCGATTAAAATCGTTTAGAATCGGTTGTTTCATCGCGAATAATGATTGTTTTGTAGAGCGTGAATTATGTTCAGCAATCACATCTTAATGGTTGTTTTCTGTCCAATTGATGCTGAAATTCATTGAGTGGATTGAAAATGTTTCCCTTTTATCAATGGATTATCTTTCAGTCATTAGATTCTTTGATCTTTAAGTCGCGAGTATTGTTAAGGAGATTCGTGTGTTTTATTTTTCAATCGGGTTTTTTTCATTCGTCGTTTCTTTTTTGAGAAAAAAGAACAGCTGGATAAGTTAGAGGCGGAAGTGACAAAAGCGGAAAAATTGGCGAAAACAAGTTCGAAAACGTCAAACAAATGATGCAAATTGTCGATAGAAGAGGTGAGTTTGAAGTGGACTTCTTGTGTCAGTTCTTTCAAAATCATTCTTTGAAAATTCTTCTCAGCTGTTCTCCGCGATGATTTTATTCGTTACCTTTATTGTTATCGTTCATTTGAAAGAGTTTTGAGTATTGAATCGCATGCTTGATGCTGTGTAATTTTTTGGATTTCACTTGAATTTTTGCAGTGTTTTACCATTTTTTTTCCGCGACAGACATATCGTTGTTGATGTTGTCCTTCTTTTAA